GATTAAGCTTTACTCGCATACGTACATCAGCGTTGTTGTTTCCTTGGTTAAGTTTTTTTTGTTTTGTTTTGGGTTTTACGTCATATTGCGACGTTCAAGCTTTACTGGTGGAGGAAGACCTCAGGTGCCCTTCCGTGCATTATTTCAGTCACGAACGGGCACCTGAGTAGAACCACCGACGTTCCGTAAGCTAGCTGGATAGCTTCCTCACATGAAAGAATCCAAAGTCCCTGTCGGGATTCGAACCCACAGCGGTGAGGGGCAAGTGGTTTGAAGTCAACAACCTTAACCACTCGGCCACGGACGCCCCCCTTGGTTAAGTAGCAAGAAAATAAGGACATATGTGTTAATACGTACTTATATCTGGCTTTTTCTTGTAATATAAGGTTGTAAATATTCCATTTATTAGCTTAAATAGTACAGTACAGTGCTTTTGTCCTGTTAACCGATTGCTTACGTGATAATGGACGGATAGCTTCTGAAGTTTCCTTCCACCAGTTATTAAAAGAACCGAAAGCAATGGAAGGGTTTTCAGGAAGAAATAAGCGAAATTCAATCACAATATATCGGCTGTACGTATACGCAGGCTGAGACAGGCTAATAGCAATCAAAATTACCTCCTTATCCCGGGGCTAGTAAGTCGCAAAGAAGGTACATCTCCTTAGGCGTGCTTGTCGCAGAGAAGGCACGTGACAGGTCAATGTCGAGTCATTTTAAATACCAAGTAAAATAATTGAACCTGTCATAAATAACCCGGAAAGGTTTGGCCGCTGCCATACAGAAGGTCGCTGTTATGAAACACGCTTTCCAAAGATTGTCGAACACCTTAACCATGTTAACCCTCATCGATAAACAAGATTATTTACGGATCAAAATGAAAGACCCGATGAAGCTACTGAATTTAACCGACAAGGACGACGCCGGACTCTAACAAAGTGTTGATTCTGGCGCAAGACCCCAAAATGTACAAACCAATCAATATAAGATTGCTGCGTTTTGAAAATGGTTTTTTCCCTGAAAAAAATGATTTCAAATAAAATCACATTTGCTTGTTTTATTACCTTTTTTAAGTATTTTTGCACAAGGTGTCACATTAATTACTTTTTCAATCAATGGACTGAAATTCTGAACTATTTCAATAGTCATACACCAGTGATTCGCCTAAATAGGGTAGTCAATGGCTTGGTAAGACATTGTCAGTCTTGAAATGTTCACCGGTTTTATAATGCGTCTGATCTCGGCCATTACCAATAACAATCTCATCCGATGTTTGACGGAAAGAGTCGGGAGGATGCGATTGGCCTCTCCTTTAAAACCATCTGCTGATCAAAAAATATACATATGCTATGACGACATAATTGCTGACCTTTTCGGCATGTTCGATTTAAAAAAACAGCACCATTATATAGAGAAAGCGCTTAATGTGACAAAATGTATATTATAAATAAAAATTGTACATACAAATAATCTTACGGCTGCTTCGATATTATACTTTTACTAGCATAACAATTTTGTATATGTGTACTTCTTTAGGTCATTCATGATAAAAACAACCTGATTACCGTTTTGAAGGTGTCTTTTGTGTTTCGTTCAATAAATATATATGTTCATTTAAAACATTCAAAACATTATGGTTTCATATCCTGTATACCTTAGACATTTGTCAAACTACAACTGTCGTATAACAATAGTTTATTATAGTTTGGGGACCTTTCTGTTTAAATTGTGCCAGAGTTAAGTCGTATACATATCAAGCACAGTGCGTTAACTGGTAACTATTTTCTGGGGTTTCATATTGTGACAATAGGGAACTTGTTTTTATGTTTGACTATGATACAAAAGAGAAAGAACATTAACACACTCGGCAATCTGATTAATACTCGGGGCTACGCCCCCTCGTACAAATCAGGTAGCCTCTTGTTTGGATGCTCTTTCTATTATGAAGAAAGCTGGTTAAAACTTTAAACGAGATAACCGACATTGTTTCAGTGCTTCATTCACGATTTTGTCTTGATATCGTAAAAATGGTTTCAATATTTATTTATATGCTAAATTAAGTGTAATATGACACAAGTAAATTGAAAAATGTCTCAGTTACACCGAATGTAAAAACTCATAATATGTATGTTATTGTATCTAAAGATATCAATGAAACTAAAAAACGCCATTACTGCGCTAGTCGGTTCGTCATTTTCACGAAAAATCTTGAAAAATAAACATTTTCATGGAAATATTTTTGATGAGGTATGAAGTATAATGTATCAGCAACCGTATACGCTAATTCATTTCTTTCAATTTGATGTACAATGCAAAATATGCTTGTCTGTGTTAATCTCTTAAGGGAATGTACATGTATTTTAGAACTGACGAAAGTTCTGTTTATAGTGCTAGGATTATACCTACGCCAAGGAACTAAACATGTAAACAAATAGTAAATAAATGTTTTGAGCTGTTGATTAAGTTTATCGCAATTTATCGTTTAAAAGTCTACCTAAATTTATATATAGTTTACAAATGTACAAACTTAAACTGGTCATGCGCGGCAAACCGCGCGTCCAATTTAATTTTGTTGATACATACTTATAAATTTTAACTGGCTTAATTAGTGTTTTAAATCATTTTTATAAGATTTACCAGAGTGATTAACAATTTGCCGATGTAAATATGTTACGATTCATTTTAAATACTAGTATGTTATTGGACAAAAACTATTTTCAAACACTAAAAAAATTTATAGATATGAAAGTAAAATACAGTTGAGTTCACACTAAACTTCCCACCCTTGTGCACTTCTAGTGCACTAGAGCTGAACTAGAAGTGCACACCGTGTGCACTTCTAGTGCACTAGACCATATGACCAGGCTGGCCAGGAAGGTGACACCTAAATGGTTTATTGGATGATTGTATATCAAGTGACAGGGGGTATCTGTTGTTAAGCTGCTGTAAGAAAAATAAACTTTGGGAATATAATTATGGCCCATTCATGAATATAAATAAGTAAATTTTAACATTTTAGGTGCTTTAAATTAAAAAAAGAAATTTATTTATTGTAATCATATTTTTTTTAACCAGTATTTAACTGTAGACCTAAGTGTAAAATAATACCCCTTAAAATCAAATTTATAGAATTAATAAGGTTAAATTTAAATATGCTCGGTAATGGATAATTGCGTAAGTGTTTTTAAAGCTATTTTTAATGGCCATAACGATTTCAATTTGTCTAATGTACAAATAAGAAAATAAATGTGATAATTCTGGCCCAATTAATTTAGTTTGTAACAACATAAACTTTTTTTTCATAAGCTCAAACAAATCAAGGAAAGGTTTTTATTTAAGCTAAAATATTATTTCTATAATATATAACTTAGAGACAATTCCTCATGTTCAATATTGAAAGAGTATGTATACATTGATTTTAAAACAATCAATATACTGTGATAATTTAGTATTCAACTGTGTAATGCTTGCATATAAATGATTAAAATATAATCCATAAAATAAATAAATTTGATAACTTTATTCATGATTTCAATATTAAAAATTTAATGTATAAAGGGGATACTTTTATTGAAGTCATGCTGTGTATTGGTATTTTCTGAGAGGGACTGTTTTCATTATACCAATCTCCTGCTGATAAGACGGCCTCAGGGTAAACAACAAAGTACAGTCAATTTTGCAGATTATAAGTATGCATTGAAATTCCCTGGTTTTCTCAAAATGCATGTTAGACATAAGCCTGGGATTCATCAGGCGTTGGCACTCAGGCTAGTTAGTCATATAGATAAATGACCATAATTTTTGTATAATCAAATATACAAAAAGAATCACAATGGCATAAATGCATATTAGATATTATTGTCTCTAAAGCGGAATTTTCTATATTTATCCACAATTCTTGCCACTCTGCATAATAATATATAACTTAAGAGGCAATTCCTCATGTTCAAGATTGAAAGAGAATATTAATTCATTGATTTCAAAACAATCCATATACTGTGATATTATGTTTTTCAACCATGAAATGCTTGCATACTTTTTAAAGATATAAATAATTAAAATTTTTCAAAGAAATCATGGAGCTAAATATAAGTTTATATATCTGTGCATGAAATAAATAAAATTGATAACTTTATTTAAGATTTCTATATTAAAAATTTAATGTATAAAGGCATGGAGTTGAATAGACTTTACATATAGTGTATGTATATCTGTGATAAAGGGAATGCTTTTTTTCACCCACCGAGCAATTGTGTCCTTTGATACACCTTTATGTGGGCTTTGAGTGCTTATGAGCAATGATTGATCTTCAGAATATCGCAGAACTTCTGTCCTGCTTAAATATTTTTCAAAAGTTTTGACAATGCATAATTTTTCATTTTTTGGATAATTAACCAGTGTTATAGGTTCTAAGTGGAAAGTCGGTCGTGACTGTTTCAATATGTGATTAGTTAAGATAGTAATTTGTTTTGAATTAATAATAATATCTTTCATTTTTATCAAATGAAGTGTCTGGCACCTCTGTGCACTAAGGAGTAAAAACAGAAGACATAATTTTCCAGAAAGAAACAATAATGAATCATCCTCTTCTTCACCTAGATAGTCAAGTACTACTTGTACATCCCAGACAACTGGGTGCTTTGGAAGGTTTGGCCTGTTGTGGAAAATACCCTTCATAAATTTTCGAAGCAATGCATCAGAGCTGAAGTCTGTTTTCCCACACAGTGATGTAAATGCGTTGACTGCCGCTCGCGCTGTGCCAATTGCACTGTAGCTGAGTCCAAGCTGGAAGAGGTCTGTCAAAAACTTAATGATATTTTTTAGAGAGGGCGCAGTAGCACTGACCGATTCCTTATCACAAAATACAATCCACAGTTTGATAAAGGATGCATGTTGCCGTTGTGCAGAAATTCTCCATCCATCGATGATAAGATTGACAGAGTGTTCCGATATGCCTTGTTTTCAAAGGGTTTCCCTGATAATTTGAAAACACCCAAAACCATCTACTTGAGCGGATGTTTTCTGTCTGGCTTGTGCGGAAGGTGGAGTATTTCCTGTGATGGCGGAAGTAAGTAGCTTTGCTGACTTAGCAAGTGAAGTAATTGTGCCCACCAACCTTGTGTCGTCCAGACTGGAGCCACCAGAATAACTTCTGCTTGGTCTTGTATAACTTTCTGCAGCACCTTCGGTATCAAACTGAAAGGAGGAAACATATATAGTAATTTGTTTTCCCAGTCCAAAGAAAATGCATCAATTGCCCATGCCTCAGGCTGCGGTAGCCTTGAGACATAATTATCTAATTTTCTATTTAATCTGGACGCAAACATGTCAATATCTGGGATCCCAAATTTTACCACAATTTCTTTAAACACTAAATCATTTAGCGACCATTCTAAATCGTCATTGAATTGTCTTGACAATCTATCTGCCTCTGTATTTGCAGATCCTGCCACATGTGCTGCACTTAAATGTATGCCCCTGTCAATACACCAGAACCATATTTCTCTTGAGAGATCATTTAATTCCTTACAGCGCCCCCCTAATTTGTTAATGTAGGCACAACATGTAGTGTTATCAGAATAAATCCGAATATGAACCTTTTTTAGATTTTGACACAATGCAATCAAAGATAATTTACAAGCTTTAAGTTCTAATATATTAATATGTAGGTTTTGTTCATCAACAGACCAAACCCCATTTGTTTCAGCATTTAGGGCCTTAATGCAGCCACCATATCCCTTTAAGCTCGCGTCCGTGTGAACTACAATGGTTGGATTTCCGTGAGAAACCTTTTTAACAGAGAATTCCAAGTTGTCAACCCACCACTGAATATGCATTTTTATGTCTTCAGTTAGTTTCATGTACGATTTGTAATTACCACTCTTAAGTTTCTGGTGGCTGTGGACGCTGTGTTGATCTGTACAGGGGAAGCTGACTTTTGCCCCCCCCCCCGCCTTTCCCTAAAAAATGCCCCTTATTGATCATCTTGATTTGACGGCATGATTCCGCATTCTTGCTTTGCTCTTGGAGCTTGTCCCCAAACAGTCCTGTTGCCGAAGTGTTGGTTTCGCTAGCACAGAGACTCTTAAATGAATGGTCCACTTCCTTCCTAATAGAATCTCGCCTCTGGCTGTTAATTTTGGCTATTGTGCTGCATATACTTTTGAATGAGTCCCCAATGCATTCTTTAAGGAATGAAAGATCTGGCTGATCATTGGCATAAGCATGATCCATTGCTGCTACCAGAGGTGCTGCCGCCTTATTGAAATCATCAATGATATGTTGCTTTGAAATGTCAGTAGATTTTACATTGGTCTCAAGCTGATTCCAAAGAAATTTGTCAATTTTTGGCACCTGAAGCGTTTCCACATTTGCTGGTCGTTTGTACTTTTGATGTAAAGCTTGAATTTTTTCCTTGTCAATTTTGTTTGGTCTCAAAGATTTGTTCACAACCTTTGCAACCGTTTCATTGATGGCTGGCCCAGTTTCCTCTTCTTCCACAAAAAAATTGTCAAGTCCCATTAATACATCATCAGTTAATGGACCTTCACTATCTTCTGTATGATGTGAAGGACCAGGTTCATTCATTAGTCCATCGATATCTCCGTCGGAATCCGAATCCGAACTGTCCGAATTACTGACAGTATGAGAAACTTTCCTCCGTTTGCTTGGTTCATTTTGTCCAGATTCGTCATTATTTCTCTTTAAATTGGCCTGAATTTCACTAACCGATGTTGCTAGATCCTTTATCTTCAAGGCCTGCCCTTCAAATGATCGGATCGACGAAACAAATGTCTCAAGAATCTCCTCTCCCTTTTGTATAAATCGATCAATTCTGTTTACATTCGATGCGCTTCCGGTTTGCGCACTTCCGCTTTCTGACGGCGATAAAATCCGTACCTCGTCGTTTGCTGTTCCGCTGGCCATTCTGTAAACCTCCCTCGTGCTATTGTAAGAAAAAAGATTCGATTTTAAGTACTTTGAAGTTCTCTGTACCTAACGTACATAAAAAGATAATAATATTGAAATGTCAGTCTGACTATTTCATATTCTGTATGTTACTCGCCAAATTCAGGGAGTGAAAAGTTAGTAAAATTAAGATCGATCGCTGTTCCGTCGGAACATAGGAAATTTTCGAAATATATGTCCGGCTTATCCAGTATTTTTTCTAGCTGTCGCCGTAAATTATCATCCATTCAGGATAATAATGCCATTCAGGCTTTGAACAATATCAGAATATTGTCATATGCATTCGAAATTCATCCGATTGCAGTCATTCAGACTTTAGTTTATAAAATCGTCCATCGGACGATGCAAAATGGCCGAATCAAACGGCCACGATAATTCTAGAAGAAGAAATAAAATCAATAATTATCGATTACATCTTACCGTTATTTGGCAATCTCTAGTCGTCTATGGATTTCGTTTCGAAATGGCACTTTAAATTCGCGATATTTTTTGCTTATATATATATACTAATGTAAATAATGAATAATTTAATTGTTATTAATTGCTGCTGCTGCTGAATTCCACAAAAACGAGCCTCGTTCTGATTTTCACGGAAACATGAGCTACGTCATCTCTCTGTGTGATCCCATTAAGGAGTTAGGTAGAAGATAAAATGGTATTTATACTAGTCCCCTGCTGATAAGAGGGCCTCAGGGTAAATAACAAAAATGCAGATGTATGCAATATTTACATGTATTTAAAATTTCCTGTTTTTTTTTTTTCTCCAAAATACATGTAAGACATCTAAGATAAATGACTATAATTTTTGTATAATCAAATGTAAAAACATAATAATAATGGCTTAAACGCATGTAAGATATTATTGTCATTATTGTCTTTGAAGTGGAATTTTCTAATCTTATAAAAAAAACTGGTTTAAAATCAATATCAGTGTTAACTATTCTGGAAAGACCTCATATCAATATTTATCCACATTTCTTGCAATTTTGCATTAAAATCATCTTTTAGTTTCTGAACTGGGAAATGTTAATTTTTTCTATCATAGATTTGACAAATTTACCTTGTCAGTTTTAATTAACACATTTAAAAAATAATATATTTTAAAGAAAATTTTTAAATACATGATTATAAAACTTTTGCAACTTCCTTTTCACTTTAATGCAGATCTGTTTTTTGTTTTTTTTTAATAAAATACTAATACATTGTACCATACATGAGCAGAAAACAGTTACAGAAGATTGAAGTGTCAAAAGTCATGCTGTGTATTGGTGTTTTAATGTAGTGCCCTGCTGATAAGAGCGCCCCTCAGGGTAAATAACAAAAGGCAGATGATAAATATAAGTAGGCAATGTAAATTCTGTATTCTCTGGATGTTGGTGCAAATAAATTTCATTACAAGAAGTACAAAAAAGAAAACTGAAATATTTTTGTATTTTATAATAAACTCCTAAAAATAATCATATTGCATAATTATGTTACAATGCATGAAAAAAGAAAGAAAAAAGGTTGGTGTCGTCTCAAAAAATGGAATTGAAAGATTTTCTAATCTTTTTGTTAATATCCACATGGAGTTAAATATAAGATATATTTGTGATATCCATGTCAGTTAAAGTATACTAGTGTCCCACAGGTACATATCAACATATCAATACTTAATCCACAATATATCAATACTTAATATACCACCATTTAATATATAAATATTTATTTTTAAAATAACATATATCATTTCTATAAATCTTAGGTAAATCTCTGTTTGAGAAGGTAAGAGAGATTATAAATGAGATAAAATTGATAAATTGGTATAATTTGCCCCCCCCCCCCCAAAAAAAAAACAACAACAAAAAACAAAAAAAAAACTTGATTGCATTTCAGTGTTTCATATTTCATTACCAGATTATAATAAAATAGAATCATATTAAATGCCAATTAATTTTGTTTATTTATGCATTTATCAACATTAAAGTTATAATTATTTATATTTACTTATTTTAACAATTAAGTTTCTAATTCAGTTCTAATATTTTACGCCATATTTTACAAAATCCAATATTCACAACTTCAAATTTATTATGAAAAACTATTTTACATATATCAATATTTATCTATCTTTTTGTAAAAGTCATTGAAATAAAAGGTTACTGCTTTATACATATAATAGGTCTGGTGCACTACAAAGTGCACTTATGAAGTGCACTAGTAGTGCACTACTAGTGCACTTTGAAGTGCACTAGTAGTGCACATCTAGTGCACTCCTAGTGCACTTTGTGTAACCTTTAGTGTGAACTCAACTGTAGTACATTATTTATAAACATCTTTTTATGGTTGAAGAAATGTATACCTGTCGACATTAAGTCGAGTATGTTTATAATTCAATGGGCGCTTTGAAATTGATTCTGATTGTCAGACATATTTTTCCACAATACTTTAGCGAAATATACTTTATTTTCCTTTTGATGTCAAAACGTATACATTCGTTATACATCAGGCAAAGATCACACCGTTTGGTTTTTGTTTACATCTAAAACCACGTTCAATCCGAATGAGTCCGATATTATATTGAATGCCAATGCGCATGCGCATTAATGCTTTATGAAATTTATCTTCCTGTTTAACAAGGCCATTACGAATGCGGAAGAAAGGTATTATAAAATATTCTGTCTCATATAAGGCGATGTAATGTTTATTGAAACTGGATATAAATGTATTTATTTAACCTTAATCTTATCTGCAAGAATTAACAATTTGTGTTCTTATTCTTGGTTTGATAATAATCACCATGTGATATATATAATATTATAACCACACAACATTACAGGTAATGTTTTGATATTGTTGTAAATATTCAGTGTAAACTTGCGGGATAATAAATCGAATATACATATATTTAGTGTACTTTATGACTTTACAGCGTCCTCTCCATTGAAATATAGCTCTGTGGGGAACGCATGATTTCCAAAATCATGGATTTATGAACAAATCAAATCAATCATAGAGATATTGAGTTATCTTTATATATACTCTTTATTTCCGCTTTTCAGCGATTACAACATAATTATACAACATGAAATATATATACAAACATATGATACATGATTATGACAAATTTACATTTATATATTATTAAAGAGACTTAATAATTAAGTTCAAGTTAAATGGTTTCATATACATGTATAAGCTTCTATATGATTATATTTCTATATGATTATATTAGCATTATAGCAAAGGTTATCTTAGAGCAATAAGTATTTAAGCGTAACAATAAAAAACACATTTATATAATTGTTTTATACATATTTCATATTTAAATTTCATTTGAGTTATCATATTGATAATGCAATGTAATTATATATGGTTAAAATGCCTCAGTATTCAACCTAGTATCACACATCTTACCGAAACGAAATATAAGCTATGTAAATTAGGCAATACCGCTTACATATTTTCTGTCATTAAAGTACTTGTTTTTATTTAAATAAAACGTTTAGTTATTAAAAACTAAACAATCGTATATAAACTTACAAGCACTTTGTATGAAGTCTTTTTGGAGAAATTCATCTATGTCATATATATCCAAGGCACGAGGATTTAAGATAGTTCTTAAAAACGTCTCGCTGTTACATCCTTTCAGGAAGTTACTGAGTTCACAACTATATTGTTTTTCAACACTATTAAGGAAAGTTGTTCGAGACTTTTTAAGTGAAATACATTTTGATATTACATGGAAATTTAGGTCACTTGTTTGAGAACCACGTTTCTTGCATGTTTTAACATCACTTTGCTTTGCCTCAACAAGAACTTTAGCAGTACAAAATGCATGTTTTATTGAGTTTAGAGAGTCGGAATTTCTCCATAATATTGATGGGCTTATATCGGTATGTAAAGTTTTAAAGCGTACAAAATCATCATCGCTATTCATTCTTTCTGACCAATGCTGTGTATGATATTTGCGTATAGCGTTAAAAACTGTTCGTTTCCATTGTAACTTGTCAGGAAAGATTGCTGTTTGTAAGTAGGATTCAACAATATGGAAAAGGTTATATTTTCCTAGAATTCTACAGACGTCAGGTATATATCCACTTTGTCCACTAACTGTCTGTTTGCATATAGGTGTAATCTGAAATTAAATATTTTTCTTGTCAATAAATTTGAAGGCATTGTGCACAGTTTCTGCAGGAAATTAAGCTTTCGTTTGTCAATTTCTGCTATAGCAGGTAACCATCCCAGCATGCTTAGAGCCATATCAGTTCGAGTTCTTCTAGGAAAGGGTTGAATGCATTTGGCAGCGAACCGGAATAATCTTTCCATCTTAAGGATATCATTGTCTGTCAAATCATTCCATAATTCCGCTCCGTAAAAGGCAGTTGGAAATGTAACTTTTTTCACTAATGCGGCCAAAACTAAGGGATTCACGTCGCCAGGAGTCTTGTCGATAGATAGAATAGAAAATAGAGATGAGCGGCCTTTTCGGATGCGAGCTTCTACAGCACTTGAACATTTTTGCGAATTGTGTAATTCAATGCCGGTGTGAGTAACCGAGTCCACCGGACGTAGGGAAGCACTTCCGAAATTAATATTTATATCTTTAAACGCATGTCTGCCAGAATTACCAAAGTGTATTATTTTCCAACGTCGCTTTTTTGAGCTGTTTAAATTGTTATTTTTTTTTTCTTATTACATGTAGTGTACAATCATTACTTTATAAATAACTTGACCTTAAAAACTGCATACAAAACCTTACTTAAATAAATTCAGTGAGTTATAAACTTAAATCGATGAAATAGGTTTAAATGAAATTGCTCTATGTTTGGTCTTGTAATAAAATCCAGTTCATAAGATTTTGTATATTTTATAATTTTTGGTTAAGTTCTTGTAAAACAAGATAAACGAGATAACAATTTAGGTCAGCTTATTCGGATTGAATTAAATCTCCTTTTAATGTATTTTATTGTCAAATGATATATCCCCTTCATTTTATCGCTAAATAAAACCACTCTTGAAATGAGATAAATTATATTACGAGGGCGTAACTCGGGTAACATAATGCTGCGCATCCGAGCTGTCAGTCAACAAATAAATGCTGCATTATTATCTGCATCTTATTTCAGCGCATCGCATTTTATAACTCTTAATATAGATTGTCAACAGTGATTTTATTGCATATATATGCACAATTTCGGTCCTTAAATAGAGATAATGCGGGTTGTGTTAGAATATCTATTTATTCATTCGTGTTTGGTGGTATTTATTCTTCTCATAACTTCTTTATATCTGCGGCGACTTTATTTTATTTTAAAACAACACAAGGCCTTAATCCGTTTAGATTATCAATTAAAGTATGACTTTAAGCTTCAAATGACGTGGACCTTCAAGGTAAAATAGTTGAATTTTCATTTAGCTATCTAAATAAACATTAGGTCTGATTTTTTGACCTGTCGATTATGAATATACTATAGAACTCATTCAGATATTCGATTTCACTTCGGCATTGTTCGTTCGTGTAGTTTACGAGAATAAATATGGAGTATATAACTGTTTTGAAAAGGTATATCATCTTAATGTATATCCGCAATAGTCGGTTAAGTCATGGCCTAATATATGAGATGTCTGTGGTTCGATCCCTACTGTTGCCATCGTTTTAGACCTAATCTTTCTTTATTTGTGCAGTATATGAATATATATAAATGACATTTGTTGATTTTAATCTGATTTAATTTCAAATATTAATTCTTAAACCTTGTTACTTAAAAAAAGTATGGACTTTTCCAAAATAATCACAAAACATATTAAAAACAAGAACCGGTTGAACCGGGTGATGCTCCTCGAGAAGGTTTTGGACACAGGAAAGTATAAAAAAATGAAAAAAGGTCAAAAGCTCTAAAATTAGACAAGACAGAGTTATGTTTTTTTACACTGCACTTTCATTCAATGATACCTATCTTTCTATAAAGGTTCGTGATGATATTTCTTAAAGTTTCAGAGTTATGTTCCGAGTAAAATTCAAAGTGTAAAAATGAACAAAGGGCAATAACTCCAAAATAACACAAGGTTGTGTTTAGGTTCTTTAGCATTGCAGTTCTATCAAATTATATCTATCTACCTACAAAATTTCATGTTGATATCTCTAATAGTTTTAGAGTTATGTCCCGGACAAAAGTCAAAAAATAAAAAATAAACAAAGGGCAATAACTTGAAAAAATGGCAAGGCAGAGTTATGGTTATTTAGCACTGCACTTCTGCCTTATGAGACCTATCTACGTACAAAGTTTGATATTGATACATATTATAATTTTAGAGTAATGTTCCGGACAAAGTTCAAAGTGTCAAAACTAACAAAGGGCAATAACTCCAAAATAAGGCAAGGCAGAGTTATGGTTCTTTAACAAGTCACTTCTACTTAAACAGATATATCTACCTAGTACAAAGATTCATGTTGATATCTCTTATAGTTTTAGAGTTATGTCCCGGACAAAGTTCAAAGTGTAAAAATGAATAAAGGGCAATAATTCAAAAATTTGGCACGACAGAGTTACGGTACCTGTGCATTGTACCTACTTAATGAGATCGATCTACATAGAATGTTTCATGTTGATACCTCTTATAGTTTTAGAGTTATGTCCTGGACAAAGTTCAAAGTTTAAAAATCAACAAAGGGCAATAATTCAAAAATTAGACAAAACTTACTTTTTACTACGGGAATTTTATTTCTGCTATTTCTGCGGTTCTTAAGGACACCGCAGATTTAAAAACCGCAGAAAATTAAGTTTTTCCCTATGTCTATGTCGGAATATATCAACTTGTATTGTATAATTACATTACCATGTACCGTTATCAATATTGTAGATGGGAAATGTTCTTTATGTATCCGTCATGAATTAAATATTAGAAAAAAAACGTTACTTTACTTGCTCATTTTGTTTAAATAAATATCATGTTTGTATGATTTTCGCTCATTCTAGGCTTGATTTTTTTGCAAAATTATTTGTACGATTATAGTTTGTCGGGTGCAATAAACATACTCTTTTGTATTTGTACAATATCTTGTGTCTACGTGCGATTTTACCATTGTTAATTTTTTACACGTCATATGTATACACATGCAGTATTACAATTAATTGTTGTCATTACACGTTGTTGATTTTTGTTTATTTATGTTTATATACCGATACATGATGATTGCGATAAAACACTTTAAAAGTCGTCTGCATGTAAGTCAAAAGTAAAGTGTGACCCCTGGATGAGGTGGTTCTTGTTTCAGGAATAAAAAATGTATGCTGGAATATCCATCACCTTAAGTGATAATCCTAGTGCTTCGTGTTTTTCTTTCTTTTTTTATTCTTAAAAGGAAAAGCTAAATTGATGTGCTGATAATCGACCGATTTTGCAGAAACTGTTTATTTACTTTTTCGACCCATGCAGTTTGTTAAATAATTATGCAGTTTTTAACTAATTTAGGTACAAAGGGTAGTTTTTGAAATCATTTTATATGCTATTTTATTTTACTTTCCTTTTATACAGAATGGCTATGTCACGTAGTTTCAGAGAATGTGGAAGTGATGAAGCTAGGGATGATGATGATGATGATCCAGACCTTTGCTCTCATTGTGCTACTGATGGGAAACAGCAACCAGCATTGTACTTCTGTTTTAATTGTGGCGTGTATGGTAGATACATGTGTGGCATTTGCCTGAAGCAACACAACCGATTTGTGAAGAACCATGAGATAGAAAAAATTGCAAGTAGATCAGCCTCTAATAGGTATTTATTTCTGTTTGTAACACTGTTGATGCAATTAACGTAAAATACTATTTTTACTTTTAAAGTGTATGTTTTTTTTCACACGAGTAGGTTTCATGCTTTTGAAAGACCAAAAAAGTGAAGTACATGCAATTTTACAGCTGCCATACGCAACTTAGCTGTTGCTTTATAAAGAAGGAAAAGAAAAGGAAGGTTCTTGGGAAAAAATAAATTAAGAAAATATACCGAAAGAAAAAAAAAGCATTATGAAATAAATTAAATAAATTTTAAAATCATGAAAATTTGTCAGGTAATATACATGTATTATTGGAGACGGATCTTTTTTATGGTCGAGTGGAGTCGCCATTCACCTTGTTTCGTTCGGATGGTCGATATCGTATATATCGACATCGTTGGAAACGCTTTGCTGATGCATGCGTTACTGAGGTAGATAGATTCGGTGGTTGCTCAGTAATGGTCTTGTTTGGAATATCTCACCCTTGGTTGTGTTGGATGGGATTTTTAGCGCCGTCAGGTAAAGGGATGAAAACCTCTGCCCGTATACTATTCCTTTAGTCAATCAACGTAGCCTCATTTTCCAACTAGACAATTACCGACCTTATATTGAGAGAGTTTGTAGACAGTTTCTGGTGAATACATTCAGCCATTTGACTGACAACCCTATAGTGCAGATGTGTCTTCACTAATCTATCTTTGGATGGACGGGACAGGAGGGAAATGTGGTATCAAAACAGACAACCACGATCGACCAACTGTGAAAGTGGAACAATATCACCCTGAGGAAGATAAACATCCTTTGATTTCAGTCCACATGATCATAATGGCTGTGACAGCTGCAGGAGAGGACATACCGAAAACCTTAAGCCTATTTGAATTAGTTCCAATATGTCTAATAGTAGGGGTCAAAATCCAATGAAATTTTCCGAACAAATTCATAAAAAAATAGAAAACAAAATTTAATATCAGTCATAAAAAAACCTTAAATCACCTCTAAATTCTACCTTTGGGTATATATGGTTTTATTAGTTTTGCCCTTTTTCTTGCATACATACGCCTTTTTCATACGTGTAGCAATAAAGGTTTCATGATCAGAGACGTATAGACATATTTGCCAATGTATTTCACCATTTTATCATATTTTTTTACATGTGTCAATTTTACACGGCTGTGCATATATTTTAACGTCATTTACGTCAACAAACATGGTTTAAAGACGAGCTAAATTTTAGCGCTTACTCTTAAGACGTGTCAAAGAAAAAATATTTTTTGCACTTTTAAACAGTTTTTATTTTGGGTTTGTGATCAATAGAATATCATATTCGTGTTGTTCCATTACTGAATGTATTGAACTCATTGAATAAAATTATATTTTGTTTGCCAGATACTTAAATTTAATTTCATCCAACATGTTCAATTACTTCGGTATTAAACCTTCACTTATTCAATATCCTCTACATTATACGTAAAATACTGCTTAAGCTGCTGCCGGTACCGTACACTTACCAGTACTGTTCATAAACAGGCTTAAATAACCGAGCCTGGAACATATTAAATTTTGCCATTTGAGACGTTCTTTAGAGCAGAGACTTGTTTCCCCCTGTTGCAGCTGTTAATAATTTAGGATTGTTAGGAAGCTTAAAAGCTAGGTAATAAAAGGTCGGTTGTTCGACTCAGGCGCCCACTTGTGCCTGAAATAATGTACGAATGGGCTCATGATGTCTTTCTTCACCATCAGTAAAATTGGAAAGTTGTCATATAGCTTAACCATTTACAACGTCCAATGATGCTGTTCCGTCAAATTTGTTAGATAAAAACGAGGGAAACAACAAAATCATCGGTTTAAGTTGAAAGTTTTACTGATATATGTAAAAAATGCCATCTAAAGATGAAAACAAGTCCATAAATCCGCAATATTTGTGTACCCGTCCGTACGTGTAATTTTTAAAAAGAAAATATATATTTCTCCAATACGCAATGAACATCTGTCTTCATGCATTACTCTGCTCTTGTAATTTAAATAGATATGGCCACTGGAGCAAAAAGGCCGTGTCGGAGCAGGAAAAATCGGGAGGCGAATCTTCTCACTTTCCTTTTACTATTTTTTATAATTGTGATGATTTAGATAATTATAATCTTGATAGTGGTTCTGTTAAATGTTATTGTGAGATAGTTTACATATTTACACATATTTTTATCAAAGCTGCATTGAGTTCAAAGAATTTCATTATAAAATTGCATGTTTCACTACATTTAAATCCTATAATTGTTATTCTTAGTTGCAAACTTAACAAAGATTCTTTCTAATGATTAGTATCTTACAATGGAAAATATTAACTAGTATTTGACAAGATTGTGCTGTGTGAGGTATTGTTTGCTTTCATTGCTCCCGAAAAGTGAAACGATTTATCCTTTCAAGTCTTTTTAAAAAAGCATGTGAACATGCAGTATGAAATGTAATATTAAATTTTACAGATTAGATTATGAGAAAGTGAAGAAAATGGAAGTTGAAAAAGATCTTAAGTTCAAAGAGGCAGAGGTTATGCAGTTAAAGGAAACAATCAATGGATATTCAAAAGAAAACCAATGCCACCAAGCAAGAATAAAAGAATTGGAAATTGCATGTAAAAATATTGAAAAAGAAAAGATCCGAGGTGAGGAAATGGCAACTAGAAATTTAGAGCACTTGCAAAACATTCTTAAAGATGGACAAAGGAAAGCTTCAGACGAGTACAAAAAGCTATTAGCAAAACAGGACTCTTTACAAGACAGGTATCTTAATTCGATTTGCACCTCATCACTTAATTAATTTTTAAAACCCTTTTAAATTTATTAGTATTTTCAATGTCGGTTAAACTTATAACATCTTCTTAGCAATATTGGGCTATTTTAGTATTCACTTAATTATCGTCAGTTGATTATTTATCGTTTATTTTCCGAAGTATCACATGTTATTCAATGTCATAATTTTGCCATACTGTCCCTCTTCTGCGATTGTTTTGCTTGTAATTGAATGACAAAGCTTTTATTTCATCATTGTTTGAAATGGTGATTGTTCCTTCTTTGTGTGCAGGATATTTCGTACTTTTGACTTTATCATTCCTTAAGAGTTTGAATAAGACCGCGAAGAGAGAAGTGGCATAAATTACCAGTGTTAATTTAGTTTGTACGTCTGCCAAACCACAGATATGAATATCCATCATCATCATATGGATTAAGTGTGTAAATAAGAAATCATCTGACCCATTTGGTTAAAACTGCGGTTGGTTGAAATTAAATGGAAATAATTTTGTTTCGTTTTAAAGATAAAAAAAAAAGTGTATCGTAGTAACAACATCGTAGAAAAAGCCAGATAAGAATTCAGTTTGTCTTCCTTAAACATTTGTATGACCTCTAAATATTATAATCGCCTCCATGGCCTAGATTCAAATAGGTTAAAGTCCTACCAAATTTAGAGATGTGCGAATAGTCATAAAAATTGTAATATACCATCCATATTCATTTTATCTCCCAAAAATTGCGGTATACATATTGATTTTGCCTTCATCGTCTGTCCAAATTTCCATCCGTCTCCATTAAGCTTGTCAGACTTTCAAAGATAAAATTCCTGGGGGGTTTCAACAATTCTTCACAGGACCGATCAGTACCAACCATTGTTGTGCATATCACTGGCATGTTCCCGGTTCACTGCGAAAGATGGCCGCCAGAGTCATCATAGAAACATCTTGTCCGCCTTCCACAAATCAAACTGCTGGTGGCATTTAAATGAAACTTCATAGGAGTGATCAATACAATTAGTAGTTGTGCATATCGCCGCCATGTTCTGCTTTGTTACACAAAATGTCCGCCAGTGTATAAAAATGTAAAATATTGTCCAGCTTTCATAGGTCAGACTGATGGCGGGAATTCAAAAAACGTCACAGGAGAAATCAGTATCATCCCTTGTTGTGCATATCTGCTTCGCTACACAAAATGGCCGCCAGAGTATAAAAAGTAAAATCTTGTCTAGCTTTCACAGGTCAAACTTATCGCGGGATTTCAATGAAACTTCACAGGAGTGATCAGTACCACCCTTCTTTGTTCATATCGACGGCACGTTCTATTTCTGCACAAAATGGCCAACAAAGCGTAAAATAGAAAATTTTGTCCGTTTTTAAAAGGTCAAACTGCTGTCGGGATTAATTAAATTTAATTAAATTTAACAGTAATGGTCAGTACCATCCCCAAATGTTACAATTCGCTGCACGAAATGGCCGTCCGAGCAATTAATAGAAAGAAAATCTTGTACAACTTTGACAGACCAAGCTGCAGGCGGGATTTTACGGTAAATTTACAGGAGTGATTAGTACCATATTTAATTGTGCATATCGCTGGCACGTTCCGCTTCGCTGCAAAAAATGGCCACCAGAGCTATAAATAAGAAGGGTTGTCCAGCTTTCACATGTTAAGCTGCTGTTCGGATTTCAATGAAATTTCACAGAAGTGATCAATGCCTTAGTGAAACCTTGTTGTGCATTTCACCAGCAAGATCTGCTTTACTGCACAAAATGACCACCAGAGCTAAAAAGTAGAAAGCTCTTGCCTCGCTTTCAAAGGTCAAACTACTAGTGGGATTCCAATGTTATTTAAAGGAGTGATCAGTACTATACTTTGTTGTGCATAGCGCTGGCATATTTCGCTTTGCTACACAAAATTGCCGCCAAAGCTACAAATAGAAAGATTTGGTCCAGCTATCACAGATCAAACCGCTATTTGGATTTCAATGAAACTTCATAGGAGTGATCAGTAATTTCTCCAGTTATGCATTGGCCGGCACGTCCCTCATCACTGCACAAAATGGCCACCAGAGCTAAAACAGAAAAAAACTTGTCCAGTTTTAACAGGTCAAACTGCTGTAACACTCACATAGCTTTATTATTTGTAAATGGGGTTTATTGTTTTTATAATCATTATCTTTAAAAAAAAAACAACAATTTCCTCTAATGTCAGTTACATGGCTAACCGCCGTATGAACACATCTGCGGATGTTTCTAAATTCAAAATTTCACAATTTTTCGTGTTTAAATGTTGAATATTTATTAAGCCGGTGCTAGGGGGCGTGGACGGTAACTTGCCCTTTCCAGTACCGTCCATGAACAGGCTCAATCAAACCGAGTCTGCAACATTTTCAATTTTGCCGTGTTGGGCTTTCTTTAAGGATTCTGTTTTTCTCTATTTTACTTAGTCTGAAGCATCGTTGGTGTCAGTCATCTTTTCCTCTAGCAGAATGTAGAAATGAGCGCGCGCCAAATCACTTCAAAATTAAAAGTCACAAGCCAGAAGTCATTAGTCAAAAGTTACAAGTCAGAAATCAATGCCATCAGTCATAAGTCAGAATTCCAGAAGTCCAGGGCTTCCATATGTCTGAGCATAAACACGCATGAAGATGTTAAGCATAAATAAAATTGTGTTATTATTGTAATGTAGGGTATGGATTAGAAAGAGCATTGAAACACAAGGCTATATGATTTGTTAGAGAAGCATAGCCTAGTGTTTTAATGTCTTTTGTATCATTAGCAAAAATAAAAACGCATCCGCTGTCGTCACAATATTAAACCCCAGAAAAAAAAGTAACAAATTAACGAGCATCTGAATATGACATTTCTATCTATATCTCTTTCCCTGTTGTCGCAATTAGTTAACATTAGAAAAAATGAGCCAATCAACTTGTATGCTCAAGACCGACAGTGTGTGTGGGTCACTTATGCCTGCACTCCAGTTAACGCATCGTGCATGTATTGGTATACGATTTAACTCTAACACGTTTTCATTAGTAAAATCTCCAAACTATGATAAAATTCTTTTTTGCTAATAAATGCTGAATAATATGCTTAAATATTGAAACATAGTTTTATGTTTGTTTGAAGGGCACAGAAAAATGATTTAAAGCTTAAATCGTTGCAACATTCGAATGAAGAGCTACAAAAAGAAAATGCGGCATTATTAGCGGAATTAAATGAAATTAAAAAAAAACAATTGTCGAAAGAACTCCATGATTGTAAAAAAGCAAAAGAAGCAAATATTGGATCGAAAATGAATAAAGAAGACTATGAGCGTGATACAAAGAGAAAGGAAAGCAAGCTCGTTTACAAAGAAAAGGATAATTTACAAATACGGTAATAAAATCATAAAAGTTTCCTTTTCACAAATGTTGTTAGAAAACATTTCAATATACGATTTAAATTCCGTATATTACTTTTTGCTTATTTAACATCTTACATACAAAAGTGGAACGAACGTTGATTTATTATAATATTTTTTATAAATACTTTACATTTTAACGATTGTAAAATAGTAAAACAAATAATAACATGAAGGTCTCATCATACAAAAGATCTTAAAGTGTAGATGAGATAGCTTGAACGATGTCATTCATGTTTCGTATCCAAATATTCCTTTGATTTGTGCTTACCATAAATTGTTCAATGTTTCAAGAGATTTTAATCAACTGTCAACAGTCTAAGAAGTGAACTTGATTGCATTTATATAAAATTATAAACAAAACAGAGCAGATTTATTGATATAATGTGACATAAACATAATAGTTCCTCGTCATTATACATATAATAAATACAGCAAGAGAGAAAAAATAAACATACAAATTTATAATTATTGTTTGGTGTTTTTAGTCATATACATGTTTTCCTTTCTGATACTTAAATGATTTATTACAAAATATTGCTAATTTATTCAAAGAATTTGTATTACATGTATTAAAAAAATCAATAAATTTAAATATGTGAATTTAAACAAAAGTCAGAGTAAACTTGGCCAATTAAAACAAAATGATTTCCATCTTCTATATATCGTAAATGTTTACAAAATGTCTTCCATTCTCCATATTTAAATTGTGAGAAGGTATTTTTAGTTCAACTATTATATTACTCAGTTTTGAGCCATTTCAGTTTGATATTTCAAAGTAAATTCTAAGGTTTTTAAACAAAGTGGGTGAGCTTTATTTCTAACATCTTGTCTCCAGTTTCATAAATTTATATCTATTTCTTTACTCTAAATATTGTAGTAAAAATCAAAATATAAACATTTACAGATTTAAAAAATAACAATACATCATAAGATTCAGTTTCTTAAAGCAGTTGCTGAACTTTAGAATCCCGATAAATTTGATTTTTATCACTATCGGATATCGGCATCATTTCTATGCGACAAAATGTCATTCCTTTTTTCTAAGAGTTATTTTAAAACACGTTTTGATTTCCTATTTGCCTGATTATAAAATGACGAAATCGAGCAATGTTACCATAAAAATCTGCATTACATGTAGTCATTTTTATATCAAAAACCAATTTTCAATAAACCCTTTCTGTCTGTTTAGACATAGTTACTCCCCATATTTCACAAGAATGATTTAGTATAAACGCAACATAATCAAACAAATTAAAACTATTTTTTTTTGTTGTTTTTAATTGTTGACATGACGAGTTAATGGCTTCAGCAGTCATTATATTTGCCTTTATTATAATGTTATAAAAACTGTTCTACATATATATTAAAGGCAGAGGGGAACAGGTGATGGCACTAACAGACATAAGCTGATTGTGGTTGCTATTGAAATTGGCAATGAATGGAGCCATTGTGCCTACTCCTTTCAACACGATTATAAAAATAATCCTTTGCATCCAGTTAGTGACACCTTTAAAGACAGTTTGGGTTTGCAGTCAGACAAAATTCGCTCTGTCGTGTTATTCGACGAGAACAAAAAGTTCCATAGCTTTGGTTTTGATGCTGAGGAAAAGTATGCAGAATTAGCAGAACACACCACATGGTTTTTCTTCAAACTCTTTATGATGAAATTATCAGGAAAAGATGTAAGTAAAGTTACATATACTTACTAATAGATATTAAATATTTTTTGGTAAAATTTTATTATTTCTGTTGAAATATGAAAAACAAGCTATTGAAAAAAGAAAACAACAATAAAGATCAACAAGGTAAAGGCAACGTTCACAGTACGCAGCCTCCGAAACACCCAAGCTGGGCACCCAGAAGACACCGACAAAAACGTGAAGTGAACACAAGGGCGGCGAAAGGAGAGGGACATGCAAAGTGTGAAATGATATAAACAAAAACGGGCCCATATGGGAATTAAAGGGATAAGGGCGAAAATGGGAGAGGGTGTGTGAAAAAATACCTACCGTAAACGAAAATCCAACAAGGCAGACAACACAAAACATTCAAAAACAAGTAACAATACAGAAATTGAAAACACGTGAAGGAACACAGAGGGGTACCGCCTTGGAACGGTCAGTGGTAGTTAAACTACTGGGGAGTTTCAACCGGTTTTAGGCGCGATATAGCCTCGATGAAGATGACATACTGTGTAATACATGTACTAAAATTTGCTGTATATAAATGTACAAAAATTGAGATTCATGTAAAAACTATCGCTAAAAGAAATATACATAGAATTACAGTGTTTTATGTAAATTATATTCACTACGTAAAAAATCTAGATCTATATACAAATGTAAATGAATAATGTTATGAGATCACTGTTAAGTAAAAACATTCGTATGATAAATTTATTGGGAAACTCCGTGTATATATTACTTAATAACTTGCTTGAATTTTATTGTTAATATTTTATTAATCTTTTATATCAAAGTTCATGAAAACACGTTAATTAGTATTTAAAATCTGGATTTGTTTGCTGATCAAAATATTTCTAACAGAGAGAACACAATAGTGAAAATATAAGAGCTGGTGTTAGCGAGTGAAATATAATTTATATTACGTACAAAACAAACATTTTTTTTCTAAGTATTTCATTTAAGTACTTTTCAATATGTCAATACTTATTAAATTTTACTGATATTTTCCCGCTTAAAAACATGAGCTCTCATTCGTGACGTCATCAAATCATGATATATTCTTGTTTAAAAATATTTCTGTAACTTTTTACGAATTACTTTTTTAAAATAGTATGTGTAGATATTCGTGCGTTTCTCTAAATCAGACACATTTTACTCACGAGGGCGTGTTTCTGACGATGTTTCCACTTATTCATTATACATTTTTTCATCCGCATTCAGATGTAGTCCGGCTACTGTGAAAATTAAATTCAATAATTTTATTTTGAAATTATCAAAATTAAATTCACTGTCCACTGAAAGAAAAGCATAACATAGAATTAATAACGAGTACTTCAAGGATTTTAGTTTTTTTATTAACATATTTTTTTACAAAAATTTCTGCAATATCGATATGAGCAGCTTAGACCTGATTTGATTAAATTGAATTCTGCAAAATCAAAGACATACATATTTAGGTTTCCGAGATTGGTGTACATGTTTTCCTCATCTGACCACGGAATGGTTAGATGAGGTATAGTGATAGGTCTTTGTCCGGAATCTGTCGTCGTACGTCGGGAGTCGTCAACATTGAAGTTGTGAACACTCTAGCAGTCCCAGTATTAATTGGATCATAAACTTTATCAAAATATTTTTTCTCAGTGAAATGTGGTCGTGTTCGATAATGGGTAACTTCAGGTTAAAAAGTAAGTCAGAGGAGCTAAAAATAAACAAAAATCGTGTTAACACTTCTTTAATGGCTATTGTTTTGATCCAAATTTCTTGAAAATTGGCCAGGAATTTATTTTTTTTAAATGGGTCACTAGGGGTCAAAAACTATCACATATCCCCAGTATCGAAAACCTTGTAAACACATTTGAGGCTACTGTTTCAATCAAAGTATCCTACAAATTGGTCAGAAAAAGAATGTTTTGATGAATTCTAGTTCAAGTTTAAATATTCAAAAACTAGGTCATACAGCCCAAAAATGTTATAAAAAACTTTGTTTACACTTTAAAGGTTTTTGTTTTAAGCAAGATATCCAGAAAATTGTTGAGAAATGTTGTTTTCATTATCACTAAGTCAAGATTGAATATGGGTCACCTTGGGTCAAAAATTAGGTCACACAGCCTAAATATGGAAAAAAAACTTGTTAGCCCTATTGAGGCTTCTGTTTTGAACAGTCCAAATATTCCGGAAATTGGTCAAAAAGGTAGTTCTGGTGATTTGTGATTGAAGAATGAAAATGGGTCCATTGGGGTTTAAAAGAAAGTCATCCAGGCCAAATAATGGAAAACCTTGTTTACATTCTTGAGGCTACTACTTTGATCCAAATATCCTGGAAATTGGTCAGGAAAGTCGTTCTTATGATTACTAAGTCAAGTTTGAATTTAGGTCACTTGGAGTCAAAAGCTTGGTCACGCAGCCGAAATTATATTGAAAAAAAAAACATTTTTAACACTCAAGAGGCTACTTATTTTAAAATATCTAAATATGGTCAGAAATGTTGTTTTAATTATTTCTATGTCAAGTTTGAATATGGGTGACCTGGGGTCAAAAACTAGGTCACACAGTCCAAATATGTTAACCTTGTTAAGGTTTCTGTTTTGATCTAGATATCTTCGAAATTAGTCAAAAATGTTGTTTTGATGATTTGTTAAGCAAGTTTGAATTTGGGCAACGTGGGGTCAAAAATATGTCACACTGCCAAAATAAAGACAATCTTTGTTAACACCCTTGATGCTACTGTTTTGATCCAAATATCCTGTAAAATTTGGTCAGAACATTGTTTTGGTGAGTTCTAAGTTAAGTTTAAATATTGGTCACCTGGAGTAAAAAACTAAGTTGCACAGTCCAATATTATAAAAACCTTGCTAACAATCTAGAGACTATAGTTTTGATCCAAATATATATATTTTTGGTGATATCTAGATCCAGTTCCAATATAGGTCACCTGTGGTAAAAAACTAGTTCAGACAGTCCAAATTAAATGGGATTGAGCTTTCATAATCAGGTGAGTGATATAAGTTGCCTCGTGACCCTCTTGTTTATTTAAGGTCCTCATCGATTGAAACTGTTACAGTTTAAAATAGTTATTCCTCCCGTTTTCTGGTATTTACTTTGGTCTGTCAACAGATAACACAAAACATAGAGATTGAAGATGACACAGGCAGAAAGATGAAAGCTGTTGACGTTATTGGTGCTGCTATTCAATATCTGAAAGGCCACCTGCTCAATTGTTTAGAAAATAGACTACCAGATATAGGCAAAGAAATTCACTGGGTTTTGACTGTACCTGCTATATTGAATGACTCCGCTCAACAATTAATGAGAGACGCTGCAAGTAAGGTGAGACCACCTTTATACATATGTTGTCATCTAAATATGAATTCTACTGAATTAACATTAAAATAAAATTTCATCTATAGACTAATGTCGTAGACGCCTTCGTAAAGATATTGCAATCAATATTATTACGCGGGATGTTCCGAAATAATGTTATCTGTCATTTGTTTAGTGAAAATCGTGACAAATGTACTAGAGAAGTAAGTCAATATAATGAACACTGGTGCAAAATGTTAATTGACCAGTGAGCTATAGCCTTGGTTTGGTGAATATGATATACTGTCGGTGTTAATAAGTAAATCGACCCCCATAGAATATTGACCCACCCTTCGGTCAATATTCTGTAGAAAGTTTGACTTATTTTCTATAAATTACTGACACTGAATGAAAGTGACCCCCACCAGAAACCTGTTAAATATAGACCACGTCCCCATCTAATCGATCCCAAACAGATTATTTACTACTGGACGCTGCTGTTGCAACATTTGGCGTAATTTCTCTTTGAATTATGTGTGTCCTTGCACAAGTTCAAGCGGTATTCAATCCTCAAAAAGTAAATGGAATCAATGATCTTGAAGGAAAATATGGCAATATAAGAAAATGTACGGGACATAATTTTATATTTTGTTCAATCGTATTCACAACTCAGGTGGTCATGAGAAGTACTCCGCATTGTTTTTAAATCAAATGTTAACTTATTATTTGATATAAGCTTTAGCATAATATTTGAAATTTAGCATTCAATGGAAGCGTTGGAAGTTATAGCCAACTAATAATGGAAATAATTGGTTGGTTAAGTATTCCTACGTTTGAGTGAGATCGTTTGCTATTTCTAGTGCATGCTACTCTGAGTGATCTTTCTGAGAAGATGGTTACAATTCCAAGACTGTGACAATTTAATTCGTGTTTAGGGGTCGTAATATTTTCCATGGGTCAATATTCATTATAAAGGAAAGACAGGTGGCTGGCCATTTTCATTAGAGAAATATGACAATCCTTCACAATAAAAGGCAAGCAGATTAAAGTCAAATACTGTACAAAATGTTGACATTACCACATATAAAAAGTGGAATTAACTAAACACTATTGAACAGGCTGCAAAAGTTGTTTATTATACAACGAATGTTGCTTAACATAATAAATTAATAACTTTGTCCGTTCTCCTCCCATACATCCGAAAAGAAGTCAGATGTAACGAAATGTAAATTTTTTTATTCTTATAAGAGTTACCGCATTTCTAGGTATACATGCTTAATAGTTATTCAGCCTTATAATTAAGATACAATTTGACTCTATCTTATCTTAAAGGCCCACTATGCCCCAGAAATTATTTTATGTTTTATTTTCATTTCTGCAAAAACTGTTCATTTTTTTATGTTTTTCTATAGTTTCCAAAAGATACTCATTTAACCATTTGCCATTTAACTGAAGAATCATTTTTGTTGCTTTTTGACAATCAGTACAGTTAAAGCTTTTTGTTATTTTGTACGGAAGTCAAAATGCAACTTTGTTTACATTTTGCTACTTTTATGACAAATTGTTTCACATTTGACACTACTTTCCTACGGTACCAAGCACATAACGTGCTCTTAAAATATGATTTAATGTTATAAAAATTATGTTTGCCTTTTCTGAAGAATAAAATATTTAATCATTTCTGAGGCATAATGTGCCTTTAAACTAGTATTATATTTACCCGTGTAAGATTTTAATCACGTAACCAACGCTATGACTACACGAAACAATGGTATTCATCGATTTGGTGCTGGATCTTTGGAATCCCTCCAGGGAGATACAGTGCCGGGCTCTGAGCCTCGACAGAGTCCACCAAAAGCTACTGGGGGTCACTCCTTCCATCATGCCAAGAGGAGACCAAAAGGCTACAACAAGCCAAGGAGGAGGAAAGTTCAACAGCAACACTTCAAAGTGATGCATTGGAACGCAGAAGGAGTCTTCAACAAAAAGACTGAACTTCAGCACTTCCTTCATGAGAATGACATCAATGTCTGTTGCGTTCAGGAAACACGCCTGCAACCAGCTAAATCCTTTAAGATCAGAGGATACCAGTGCTTCCGAAGCGACAGGGTTGGCAGAAAGAAAGGAGGCATCATGACATTAGTCAGGAACAACATCAATGCTATCCAGACTAAAATGCATATGGATGACTCGGAATTCCAAGTGCTGAGCCTCAGATTGAACGGCTTTCAAATGACTCTTGTGAATATGTACTCTCCAAATGACAAAGCTCTTTCCCTAGACAGTATCCCAATGGAAGCAACAAACCTCATGGTTGTTGGAGACTTCAACAGTCACTCACAAAGCTGGGGATATGACCACATGGACAACCGAGGAGAGGAAGTGGAGACCTGGCAGGATAAACAACAGGCTGAACCTCATCAATCAGCCGGAGGATCCCCAACTTTTTACTCGAGAAGATGGCACTCGACATCAAACGCCTGACCTTTGCCTTCTGTACTGACGACATATAACGGACATGTCCAGAGGAAAGTCACTGATCAACTTGGAGGCTGTGATCACCGTCCAGTCCTCATCATACTGGACCGCTCTGTCTCTATGTCATCTAGCCTACCCAGATGGAACTACAAAAAGGCTGATTGGCCCCTTTTTCAGTCTGTGAGTGATGAACTCTGCAAACACATCAGAGTTGAAGGCAGAGACATTAACAACATAGTCAGGGACTTCAACCAATGCATCCTCAAGTCAGCACAACAGTCCATCCCTAGAGGTGCGAGGAAAGACTACAAGCCCTACTGGAGTGAGCAGTTAGAGGAGCTGCAAACCAAGGTGTCCGAAGCCAGAGTTGAAGCCGAAAACAATCCCTCACAGGAGGCAAACCACAACTTACAGCATGCCAAGGCCAAATTCCTAAGGCACAAGCTAGAGGTCCAAAGAAAGAGCTGGAGACACAGACAGCTTCATTGAACCTCGAGAGAGATGGCCGAAAGTTGTGGAGGTTGACAAAACAGCTGAACGACGACCAAGACAAAGCGAGAGGCTCAGTTACCTTGGAAGAGGAGGGAGAGCTGTTGGTGGGCAAACAAGCAGCAAACGTCTTTGCCCAAAACTAAGCGACATCCCCATCAACAGTGAACGACTGAGGGAAGCAAGAAGAGAACAAAGGGACAGAAAAACACCTAAGGTTACGTCAGAGTGCATGGACTCGCGCCTGACGCTTCATGAGGTTCAGGTAGCTTTCAGGCAACTAAACACCAAAAAATCTCCCGATCCTGACGGAATCACAAATGAGATGCTGACACACCTGGGCAATACAGCAATGTGCAAACTCCTGGACATATACAACTACAGCTGGAAAACAAGGGCAGCTACCACAGATTTGGAGAGAGGCAACGATGATCCTATACTGAAGAAAGGGAAGGACCCAAAAAGGGCAGCCAGCTACCGTCCAATTCAGCCTCACCAGCTGTGTTGTTAAGACCATGGAGAGGATTGTGAACGCACGCCTGAAGTGGTACCTGGAGACCAATGACCTGCTGGCATCTGAACAGGCTGGTTTCCGGCAATTCCGTTCCACAGAAGACCAGACTACATACCTAGCGCAGGAAGTCGAAGACGCATTCCAAGAGCAAAAGGTGGTCCTTACATTGCATGGATTTGACCTACAAAGAGCGTTCGACAAAGTCTGGACAGAAGGGCTACAAGTAAAGCTCATGAGGAATGGAGTTGGAGGGGCCATGCTTGAAATGGATCAACTTCTTATCTGTTTAATAGAAGAGCCAGATCAGCCTGAACCAATCCAACAGTAGGAAGTTCCTGCTACGCCATGGTGTCCAAAGGGTGGAGTCCTAATCCCCGACACTCTTTTTCTGGTCTTCATCAACGACCTGGTGTCCTGAATGCCTAAGGCGAATTAATGCTGCGCTTTATGCTGACGACCTGGTGCTATGGTGCAAAGAAGAAGCACGCCTCTAGTGCACATACAGAATGCAAAGAGCTAATGGACAAACTCGCAGCATGGGCCGAAGACTGGTGTGTCACGATCAACAAAGAGAAGTCGTCCACCACACTGTTCACCTTGTCAACAAAGCAGAGAGCTGGGAAGGTCATGTTGGCTGGAACTCCACTGAAGGAGGAAGACGAAGCCACATACCTTGGGGTCACACTTGCTGGGACAACCTGGGGTGCAAATGAGCAAATACTGAAGACTGTATATCAGGGCACAGTAAGACCCACCATGGAGTACAGCTCAGCCACATGGTCCACAACAGCCAAGACAAACCAGCAAGCCCTGGATAAAGTACAGAATCAGGCGCTTCGTATAATCACAGGGGCCACAAGTCTACACCAATCGCCTTCATCGAGAAACTGACCGGAATTCAAACACTTCACGAAAGAAGACAAACCAAGGTCGCTTCTCCAGGCAAACAAGTACCAGTCCCTCCCAGACCACCCCATGAACAGCAGACTTGAGGGATTCACCAGAACCGCCTCAAGCGCTGGCAGCTTTGTACATCAAGCAAAGAAGCTGAGTAGAGAGCATGCAGCTGAACTAAACACTCAGACAATTCCCTTGGGCCGAGCAGACATCACCAACCTACAGCAAATGACCTGTCTGCAGTCAAAGTGGCACTTGCTATTTCCTGGCACTAGACATGGGCACAGGAAAAATGAGACCATCCGTAGAAGTCTGACACTTGCGGCTATCTACGCAGACTATCCTTCGGAACACATGGACCCATGTATACACAGATGGGTCAGCCACTAGAGCCGTTAAGGAGGAGGCGGTGGTATTCCAGCATAACGTACCCGTCAGGCCAGAAAAACAGCTATACATCGCCACTGGGAAGCACTGCAAGCAATTACAGAGCAGAGACTGAGGCACTCATGAAAAGGCAGTCTTTTTGATAGAAAACTCGCCAGAAGAGATCACCTCTGTAAGTCTTCCTCACAGATTAGCAAGATCAGTCCTGGAGGCCCTACAAAACAACAATGTCCGCTGAACTAGCGCAAGCCGTGAACAAGCTTGGGTCGTCCTGTATGTTATGCACCTCAGTGGATACCATCTACTGTGGGAGTTCCCGGAAATGAGGAGGGCCGACAAGCTGGCTAGGTTTAGGAGCCCAGTTGGAGCAACCAGATAACCAGGTGACATACAAGGAGAAAGCCACCATCATTCAAGGCTCTCACCAAGACAAGACAGGAAGCGGGATGCCTACCACATGCTAAACCGACCAGAAACAAAGTGGTGATGGTCCAGGCTTCGCTAGGGACACAACAGACTGAATGCACACATGTGCAGGAAGTACAAACTGGTGCCGTCCTAGGCATGAACCCATGATCCCTAGATTGAAAGACAGACACTTTTGATATTCGTCCACCACTTGGATAAATATTAAAGTCTTGTTCTTCTGTTTTATATTAATGCTAATATTATCAATTCATTATACATAAACATAAGTAAAACTTGCAATTATTTTTGTTGCTATTGTTGCATTCAATGTAGTACAAATCACCCGCAAGAAGTAATTTTTCAACCAAATGAGAAATAAATCATATCATTTGTAGTTCCTGCATTTAATCAGACGAGAAATTAAATCATAGCTTGACAATGAAGTATTTAAGTTTTGCTTTTAGCATATCTTCATTATTGTCTTGTTTATTATGAAAGGGGTTAACTTAAAAAAAGCCAACAAATGGCGGAAGGGGTCATTATTTAAAGCTGTCACGATTTTTCTCGAGGGTCATTATAGGGAGGTCAAAATACTTGACTTTGTCACATATGTCAATTTTACATCTGGAATTGTGCATCAAGTCCAATTCTATATAGCTGGATCTCGAAATATATTAAATAAGGTTTCTTGATCAACTGATGTCAAATTTTAATTTTGCACCGACAAATGTGCATGTACTCACAATTTCATAACTGTAGACTTAATACAAAAAAGTAATTCACTTGGTCATGACCCGGTCGTTAGGGGTGGGAGTAATTTTGAAAAAAAATAGACACTATTTATACTAAAGCCTGTGGAATTTTAGGAGAGGAGTTGTTACGTTTTTACTACATACATAAAATAAAAAACATGTATCCCGAGCAAGGCCAATTTTGACCCTGTGAGTATCAAACATTGTAAAGACCTGCAAGACGATGTTGCACGCCAAATATCTAAGGGGTCCCTTGTCCATGCGACTTTAGAGTACATGGTTTTTATCTTTTTATTATATATATTTAAGGAAAACTACATGACCACCGGGGAATTTTAACAAACTTTGTAGTAGCCTGCTAGGCAATGTAACTTACCAAAATCTAGGGTTTTTATTAAGGTTTTACATACAAGGAAAACCCATGGCAACGTGGAATAGAGCCAATTTTGACACTTGAGATATAAAATAACTAGATATAGACCTGTTGGGCAATGTGACATACCAAATAATTATCTAAACTCTAGTCCTTACGCTTTAAAGAAGAATATTTGTAAGGTTTTTCTTTTGGTTGCAACAAAACTTCTGCCTGAAATGAAAATTATTTAAACAATTTAGTACTTACAAAATCGGCCCACTGGTTTAGGAAGAGATATTGCTTGAAACAGAAGTTCATGACGTACGACAGACAACGTACACAGCTCACCATAAACATATTGCGCTTAGTTAAGCTAAACATTGAGACAAACATCATGAATAATAACAAATTCTTTAGCAAGAAAAACAATGCTGAGACGACGTTTTTTAAGGTTAAAATGTTTTTGAAGGTTAACAAAATTTTACATTTTTCTGGGACTTGAACCTTGGAGAAGAGTGCCACAATGTGTGATCTGCACGACATATCAATGTGTGTAGTCTGCATGACATGTCAATGGAGCAAATATTTGACACAAGCATCATTTATCACTTTCATTTTGCACCAACAAGTTCTAAAAAGAGATCTGACACAGAATTGATTGCTGAAACTTTTTTCTTTGACTTTGACCTTGACTCTGTACCCTAAATGTGCATCTGCATGTCGTCCAATTTTATAAACATTTGATCCAAGAAGATATCTTAAACAAATTTCTTTATATAGCAGACTTAACTGCGAAGTTGAGCACCTGGAACCTGGTTTTACTCAATCAAACCGTGTAGAATAAGACAAAAAATGTTTATGTAATCATTCTTTACAGATTTGATGAAAAAATGTAGCATTATTTTTTTTAATATTTTAGGCTGATATTACAGAAACACAGTTGACAATTGTCACAGAACCAGAAGCGGCAATTGTATACTACCAAATGGAAAAACAGATCAGGAAAATACAGACTGTCGATATATCCAGTCCTGGGACAAAATGTATGGTTATTGATCTTGGAGGTAGGTACTAAGTTATACAGGATTGAGGGGATGAATTTAATACATTTTTCTGTTACTTTATAATCAAGTTTATATCAAGGTCAAATTGACCACTATAGAAATCATAAACTTAAGATGTCTATGTTACAAGACTTAGAGGACAGCTATATTTAATAAATTGTTGACAACAATAACCATTTTACCAACATAATATGTATTCGGATAAAAAATACTAGGAGTAATAAGTATACAGGGTCACTTCAATATTCAGTTTTATGGTGCTGCTTTATTAAAAAGAAAACATGTACACTATTATTCAATTAATTACAGATTCATTAAGCATATTTTCTATGAAGTTCTTCATGAACAAGATATTGCCAATAGTCATAATGGATGCTAACGACTATTAAATGTTTCATAGGGCTGATTCTTTTCAGTAGCTTTGGGATGAATATATATATATATATATATTCTAGCTACATTCTGATAGTTAGAAAAACTGTAAATTGATCTTCCCAAATAATATCTCCAATGAGAAATTAAAACCATTGAAGCTGTTCACTTAGCAATCAATTAGAATGTTTTACGTAATTCTGTAAATAATGTTAATTATTAAAGAGTACACAGCTAATATTACAACAAGAAAAATAAAACAATCACTGGTGAATCTTTAAGAATTTGATTTTTAATTCACTTAGATGAATAAGTTTAAATGTATAAAAAGTTTTAAAAATTGCAGAATTGTTTTTTTTGCAGGTAATACTGTTGATTTCACTATATTAGAGCGTCAGTCCTTTCAGAAATTAAATCGGCAACTGGTATAGCATGTGGTGAAAACATGGTGAAAGAGGGATTCCTTGAACTCCTCCGTAATATAACAGGTGACACAGTCTATCAGAAATGGATTGATGAATATGCTGATGATCAAATTGAATTGCAAAGATATATTGAAGTAAAACTCAGATCAATCAAAGATTACAGAGGTGGATTTGAAACATTCAAAGTTCCATGTACACTAGATGAAGTATTCCGAGAAATGAGCCATGAAAAGATAGAACAAGCCATAGAGAGATCACAATATAATGGTAGAATTAAATGGTTTTCGGATAGATTAAGAATAGATTCAGAGATAGTCAAAAATCTGTCCAAACCTTGCACTGATAGGATAGTAGGTCATGTTCAACATTTACTGAAAGAACCTGAGGTTCAAGGAACGAGCATATTTCTGATGGTCGGCAGGTTTTCCGAGTCTCCAATAGTTCAAGAGACCATAATAAAAGCATTTCCTACTGTTAACGTCATCATTCCGGAAGATCCAGGCACAGTTGTTTTGAAAGGTGCAGTGATTTATGGTCATCAACATTAGGGCACTGATTTAACACAATCACACTGTGTTTAGTAATACCAGATCAAGTATATTTTCTAGACTTAATTATACCCTGATCAAGAAGAAATTTATAAGTTTTGATATCTTTCGTTCTTATGTATTTTCACAGTGTACATGCTAAAATGTATAACATATTATCTGTGTATGTTATGGAATGAACAAAACGTCTTTTTATTTTCTAAAGAATATTTTAACACCACAAAAAAGAAAACAAATAAGCTCCAAATTTATTCTAATTGCACATATATTGTATGTTGCACATAAGCTGAACTGAAAACTTACAGCTTCATGATAACGAGAATTGACTTCACTTTTATTTCACTGTAACAACAAATATTATAACACTACAGATGAGCTTCTTTGATAGATATACATTATATAAGATTTCCTAAAACATACACAATGGTGTATTGTTAACATTAAAAATATTTATGTAGGAAAGAAATATATTAATAACTACATGTAATTATTTTCGTTGTTTTATTTTCTTTCAAGGTAAAAATGTTTTTTAAATAAAAGGTTTGAAAATAACATCTTTTGCTTGTTTTAAATCATTGCTGGTAAAAAAATAAAATTTGGTAAATATTGCCAGGACTTTGTTGTTTTTGTTTGTCTGATTTCAATGTGTGATGCGCCTAACCGGCTCTCCGTGATAACTAACTAGTAATTACCAATGTATCCAGCGATGCGAGACAACTCACCAGTAGTGTCCAAAATCAATTCAAAATCAAGTTTTTCTTTCACTTTGACCTTGATACTTCTACCTTTATTATTTGAGAATCAAATAAGTGTACTATGCTTCCTACAATGATATTTTCATTAAAAAAAACCTGTTTGATCTAAAGTCTGTCAACAATGATGTCTCATATTGATGCTTTTTAATCTAACCTGGGACATAGATCTAATATTAGACTTTAATAATGAGTGGGTAATAATTTGCATCAAAACTAAGATAGGTGTCTCCCTACACAAATACATATTGCTTTACCAACCCTTTTACAAATTATAGCAAAGAATTATTTTTTGGAAACTTTTGGTACTTATTCACTAAATTAAGTCCTAAACATTCAAAGCTGATGATTTCAATATGAATGGCTTGGAGTGTATTGTGTAACTTTATCATACACATGTGCAGATTTTGCGACTCGTAAAAATGGTATCGCACGGCCGTGCATATATTTTAAAGTGACGTCATTTGCATTATACTAGCATAACGTTAAGACGCACCAAATGTTAGCCTATATCATAGGCGCGTTGATAAAAAATGGTTCTCCTTGAACCAGAAGTTCACATAATATATTTTATTCAACCCGTTCAATAAAGTCAGTATTAAACCTATACTCATTCAACATCCTCTATTTATGTCTGAAGGACAGCTAAATACCCTGATGCAGTACAATTATCAACCTTGGACCGACATCAACCTGTTATTTGTATTTATTTATAAAATAAAATTTATAAAAGGAACTGATTCCAAAAGTGTTTAAACGAAACCGCAAACTTTCAAAGTATTCAAGAGTGTTATGGTTCTTGTATAAATGAGACCTCTCAACCACAACAGTTTCACGTTAATGCCTCCGATATTTTTTGGATTATTTCCAAAGTAAGCTAAACCCAAGAGACAGATGGCTGCTTAGTAAAGTGTATCCTACTTACAATTTATTATATGATAAAACTTGTTTCAATTTTCCTGAAATGGCATTCAATTGAAAGATAATTACAAATTGCATAAAGTTTCAATAAAGCATTTATTTTTTAGTTCAGCTATAAATCAGCTATTACTCCTTTTCTTGTTATAACATGTCTACAGTTTGCTATTTTTTACAGTTCTAAGTACTTACAAATATTACAATATGTTGAAAGGTAATAATTGATAAACACGCTCTATACCACACGATAATCGTACATTTAAGTCCTGCATGTCATCTTTTCTGTCTGAAAAGTCCCTTATCTGCAAGCTAGCTGCCTAATACATGTACAATGTATTTATATTTTGATATTCATGTCTAAAAAGCCCCTTAACTGCAAGCTAACTGCCTAATACATGTACAATGTATTTATTCTTTGATATTTAATTCACTTAAGGACAGATAAATCGGAATAAATTAAAGACAGAATAGAACATGGCAATATATATAATCAGAAGTAAATGAAGTTCACGATTTCTTGTCTTTTTCTAATTCTTTAATTTGGGCAGCTTTACCTGCTGCAGCTGCTGCTAGAATTTGTTGACTTGTTGTGATAGATGTCCCTGAGGAACCAAGAATAACATTTGCTGGACTCCCAGGGGTAACACCTGATACAGACGACCCAACTGTTGTAAATATGACATTAGCAGGGCTTCCAGAGGTTGCGCCCGTGACAAGTTTACTCAGTGTTTGTCTAAGAGCTGCATCACTTTGCACAGCAATTGTCTGTCCTGTAGGACCAACTGTTTGGATAAGCTGACCTTGTGTTGAGAATCCCTGAACTCCTCCGGCAAGCTTCATAGATCCAGGATTAATTATTCGAGCAAATACAGGCTTCCCTTGTTGTGGTGTTTTTCCCTGTGGTCTAGTATTCTGAACAATATGACCAGGAGGTAGCACTTGCCCTTGCTGCAGAGCTGGCTGGGAAATTAAGATTGTAGCTTGACCTGCCTTAAGTCCAGCTTGTTGTGAAAGAACTGTTCTAACCATTTGAAGATTAGGACTTTGTGGGGTACCCACTGCACCTGAAACTGGAAAATGAGTGATTCTTTATTCTTTTATCCTTATTTTATCAACTAGAAATCTTGGTAGAGTTACAGTGCTAAGCTGTTGTATTTGAACACTGGTATGTATTATTTCAAATTGAGCATAAACATGGAAATTTGTCACTTTTATACAAAAGATTTGTTACACTGAGACTTTTATACAAGAGATTTAGAGGACTAGCTTGGTCCACTATTTTCAGAGCAGAACAGAAAATTGCAAATATAGAGATAATAGGAATTAATGGTCCCAATGACCTAAACCTTTGTCCTTTTCACCCGAATAAGGGACTCATCAGGATGCACCAACATACCTTGTCTTAATGTAAACTAATATTCTAATTGAAGCAACCAACAATAAGCAAAAACATTTTAACTAGAACTCCGCGAGTCGGATGTGTCGCTTTGTGAACAATATAGTTTAGGAGAAATGGCCAGGACAAAAATGAAATATGAAAATTAACGAAGGGCAAAAACTCAAAAAATAAGAAGTGCAGAGCAGAAGTTTCTGTGCACTTCACTTCTAATAAATAAGATCTATCATTCTATGAAGTTTCGATCTATCATTCTATGAAGTTTCAAGTCCATATCTTTTATGATTTATGAGAAATGACCTGGACAAAAATAAAGTATGAAAATTAATATAGGGCAATAACTCAAAAGTAAGAAATGCAGAGTACCGGTTCTTGAACACTGCACTTTTTCCTAATGAGATTTATCATCCTATGAAGTTCCATGTCCATAGCTTTCATACTTGAGGAGAAATGACCTGGACAAAAATAAAGTATGAAAATTAACAAAGGGGTAATTACTCAAAAATTAAGATATGCAGAGTACTGGTTCTTGTGCACTGCACTTCTTCTTAATGAGATCTATCATCCTATGAAGTTTCAAGTCCATAGCTTTTATAGTTGAAGAGAAATGGCCCGGACAAAATTAAAGAATGAAAATCTACAAAGGGCAATAACTCAAAAATTAAGAAGTGCAGAGTACCGGTCCTTGTGCACTGCACTTCGGGTTATTGAAAGAAGCATGCATACCAAGTTTAAAGTCAATCCGACTTATAGTGACACAAAAAATAAACAAAATCATTTTGACTTAATACAAGTATGTTCATAGGACTCATTAAGATGCATCCACATAACAAGTACTTAGATTTTAGATCATTGCATTTCAATGAAGGCCAGTTTTATTATGTTAGGCCCCAGTAGTTTTGACATTTGACATTTTAACCTGAAAATGGGTGTGGCAGGTAGATATCATTATAGTGCATAAACATAGAAAGTATGAAACTCCTAGATCAATGTGCTTTAATGACCAGTTTTGTGGGGTTTTCTTATGTCTCAGAGAGCCTGACCTTTGACCTGAAAATGTGCCTGGCAGAGAGAACACATCAAGGTGCAGTTTCAATGTAATAGCTTTTGTTAGTATTAAAGTCAAAAAGTGTAAATGAGAACTGACTTTATATCCCTGTATAAATATAATTATATTTCAATGTAATTGGGCTTATTGCATATTTGCAATAATGCCTTGTTTATTTCAGCAAAGTTCCAATGGAAAGGGGGATAATCAGGTATTTCTATATTGGGGAATTGAAACACAGTTGTCTTTCTTGTAATCTTTGACAGGAAGTAGATTTATGATTATCTCCCCTTCTCAATTCCATGCTTAGTAGCAGCAGCTTCAACTCTGAATTATTTTAAAACAAAAAATCGAAATAAATCTTAGAAATTCCAAAGATGCCTGGAAGAGGAAAGGGAGCAGGGAGGAAGAGGAAGGCCTCTGAGGCACTTCAGGATAGAGGAGATGGGGAAAGAGTGCACATTCTTGAGGAGCAGGCTCCACAACAGGGTAAGGTTATTGACTTTGAGGAAATTATTTCAAAGTCCTTAATGTTACCTATATCAAATGAAAATGACAATCTAAACACAGGGGAGTATCATGAAAATGAAGGAACAATAAATGAAGTTTTTGATGATAAGCCTAGAAAGATTAGGTGTGGCGGGGACAAACTGGGCTCCCATGTACCTGAATCCTTAAAAACAAAAATAAAGCAAAATGAATATGTTAATTTTTCCAGTTTGATTAAAGGCCCAGTTGAATTAGATATGTTTGATGCTGGTGTAACTTTAGGCTTGGATAATTCCTTGAATCTTGTTACAAGGCCAAGGGTACAAACAGATAAGATCAGTTCCATAGAAAAATGGTCTGATGCCTTTTTAGTGTTTAGTAGCATCTATCTAAGTGC